TGTTTAGTATAAACCTTTTAAAGTGAACAGCAGGAGAAACATGGCATGAAGGTTGTGTGTTCAGTTGATTAATTGTTTGTCCACATTTGGCCAACTGCATGCTTTTTTTAATGGAAACCTGTTGTGAGAGTATAGTGATTTGGGGAAAAGTACCCCAAGCATCAGGAAAACAACACTGCTTTATAGTCAGGTAGCCAAGGATGTGTTTACTTGTGCTGCCACGATTGCAGCGACATTGAGATCATTTTGGTTTGGCATGCACGTATTGGAGGCATTGCTCCCTATAGGCTCAGTGAAAGTTGGGGTAGATGTTTAGGAGGAGTTGCATCATCCCCATCCCAGACTGCAGTCCTCTCATCTTAGGTGTCCTAGGGACCAAACAGGTGGCAGAGTTGCTGGTTCTTTGAATCCTGATGTACTTTAGTACATGTGTGTGTCTCTTCTCTCTGCTAGATGTCATTCTTCGTGGGAGTCTGGATAAATATTTCAGTCTTTAGGAGTTCAAGAGAGCTAGGTATCACCTAGCAGCAAGCATCCCACTCTCTGCGTCCTGCTTCTCTTTACTTTTATTTAAGTATCTGAAAACCAGAAGTTGAAGCATTAAGGTAATTTTCAGAAATATTTTGAACCATTTTAGGTATTTTTGTTTTAACATTACAGCAGAGCAACAAAGACGTTGGCGTAGTGGCTGGCATATTAATGTAAGTAACTGTACCGTGTTGGAACAGCAGTTGCAATCAAAAATTAGCAAAAACTTCAGCTGGGGACAGAATAACCCTTATGATCACAGTTGTTAGGATCCATAGCAAGTGATCTTTGGTCTTGTGAGGTCTGCAGTTACACTTAACCTAAACTGAATGAGTTTTAGGCTGTACTACATGGTTTGTCTTGCAGCTTCTAGTGACTGCTGGTGGGACAGTGCCTTGTATTGGAATTTCAATTTCAATTTTTTTTTTTTTTTTTTTTTTGCAAAGCTTTGTGGCAAAGTGTATTGGCTAGTTTCAGTTACAGTGGTACAGCATTCAGTTTACAAATATCCTGGGGACCAGACCCAAGTCAGGAAAGGGAGACACTTGAAGTGCAGTTGAGGAAAACTTCGGGATATTCTCAGTTCAGTCCTGGGCTGTATGCCAGCATCTCCTATCCTGTATCGGGTTTAAGTGCCAAGGACTGATGTGGATCTGTAGCTTGTGGTTAATGTATATTTTATCTGTAGCTTGTGCAAAATTTCACTTTGTGGAATATATGAATGTCCCTGCAAGAGTCAGAAACTTAGGGGAAAAGGACAAATGTGTGACTACTGTTACTACAAGGGTAGCTATCCTTAACATTGGGTTGAGGATAACCATTGTTCATCTCTGAATAGTGCTGAAACTGAGCTTTCAGTGATCCTGCCTTACCTGGTGGCCAGAGTGGTTTTGATGAGTCTGGGACAAGTCTTGCTGGTTTTAGGGAAGTTTGGTGTGACTCAGGGCCTTTGAAAGGGGTTGCAGAAGTCAAAACACAGATCTAAGGGCTTTCAAGAAGAAAAGTGCATACTTTAAAAATAAAATAGATGATGTAAGAAGGTGACTAGCCCGCTTATGTCCAAGTAAGGAGTTTGTTTTGTAGAGGGAAAAGTTAGTAAATCCTGATTCAGCGAATGACTTAATTTTGCAAATGAGTTGGTCTTTTCCAAATGTATGTTCCCATACATATCTGAATTATAAAAGTGTAAAAATAGCACAAGGAGTAATTTGTTAATGTATTAATGTGAGTTTCCTTTAAAATCATCAGTATGTAAAAGATAAGTAAAAGTGGTACCGGTGTGGACTTGTGAACTAATGAACTGTGTAGGTTTGTATGTTCAAAAGTGTTCTATTTGTAGAGGTATGGCTACCTCTGCACCCGGAAGGAGGGATTTCTGTCTTTCCTGAAATATGCTCAGCATGATTGTCCTGAAACTCTTCTCATGCTCCTCTAATGTGGTCCAGGAGTCCTGCTCAGCTCCCCCAGGGGGCGGCCATGCTGGTTGGGGTGGCACAACCAAGGCATCTAATCTAATAAAGACAGGTTTTCAAAATGGACTGGGTGTAGCCAACCACATTTATTTGGTTTCTTCTTGCTGTAGAAAAAGGAATCTAATGTTTGGTGGCATTCATAAATTCCTGGTCCCAAACCACTAATTTAAGGTGAAAGTTAGGCTTTGGGTAGAAGAGGATATAATTCTGTGTTTGCTGCTTAAATTTCATTCTTTTGGTTGAAAATGATGGTTTGTGCTTTGCTCTATGCTTACTTAAAGAGCCTTTTTAACTTAAAGGTTTCAAATCAGAAATACTGTGCAGCTGTCTTGTTGGGTAGATTTTCTTCTACTATAAAACCTGCTTGATGCAAATGAAAGATGTTTCTGCTTGGACTTAAATGTCTGATTTCATATTCCTGATAGTAGAAAGCAACATTTCACTGCAAGGGACTGAAAACCGAAGTCCAAAACAGGTTTCTTGGCAGTGACATGTGTGGCAAAATGGATGGGTCCTTTTTTCACATGCATTTTGAAGTCCTTTCATATGAAGTCAAAGGTTTTGAGCACTTTTGAAAGTCAGGGCAAACATTTGCAAAGTTACTAGTTAAATGTTATTTTCAGAGGAGAATGGTTTGTTCTTAATCTTCTCAAAAGCAGCCTAAAATAGAAGCCCTTCCATAGAGGAGAGCACCCAGTGGTGCAAGGATGTGGGCAATTAAGTGCTTGTTAATTGTGCAGACCTGAAGAGCATTAATAAGCAAACCCAGTTACCTGTCATTGCTAAAGAAGTAGCTTTTCCATGAGGAGGACCCTTGGACATGATTTAATAATGCAAAACCACAGCGGCAGCTCTGGCTGGTTGGATAGTGGTTTGTTAGTTCTGAAGCACAGACCTGTGTTTGCTGTGTCACCATAGCCACCGTAACATAATAGGACTCCATCGCTAGTGTGTAACTTGAAGCTAAGCTGTGTTGTAGGAACATGTGGGTCTGTGTGCATGTAGAGAGGAGTAATGATGAGAAAACCTGGAGAACTGGAAACAATTACAGTTCAAACCCTGTCTTCTCTCACAGATTCTCCATGAAGCTTTTGGATACATTGCATTTAATTTAAAGAAAGGAAATGACTAAGTAATTTCCTGTACAGGTTAGGTGACCACATCGTGTAAGTTCAGGATATGGAAAATACGGTCCAGTTGTCCCATTTTTGGACAAGAGCACAGAGGAAAGAGCAGCTGTAAAGTCAAAGGTGGTTCTTCAAGTGTGCAGTTTTAAAAGAAAAAAAAAAGGAATCTGCTACATGAGATTTTGAAGTAATCCAAATAATGCCAAGGGAGATTAAATAACAAAAGGGAAAGAGTCTACAAGATGCATGAGAGAAGACAAATGGTCTACAACAGTTAGCATGCTTACAGTCTATGGTATTCAGTTAGGTCAGTGTGGTGACTTTGCGGCTTCTTATAATTCATACAAATATTTGAAACTTACTTTCTTCTATGAAATGTAATATTTTCTTAGGAATAAAATATAAGTGTGTGGTGTTTAGTCAGTATGATAATAACACACTATATGAATGGACTATTTTTATTTTCTTAAGGGAGCTTCTTGTCTTCTTTTCACTGTAAAAGTTTGTGTAGTATTTGGAAACCTGTCATGTTGTCATATATACAGCAGTAATGAAATGCTGGAATGTGGTTTAAAATCAGGCAGGTGATGCTCTACTGGTATTTGAAGGATGGCCTTATTTTGAATGACAGAAGAATAATAGCAGATTGTTTATACTAACTCTGATAGCAGATTTAGATTCTTGACTTCACACCATTTCCATTATTAAGAGAGACATATGTAAGTAGCGTTTGCTTCCAGATACATGAGCATAATTCTGTCAAGGGGTTTAAGACATCCTGTCTATTATTTAAATTTTGGACATCTGAAGATTTTTTTTCTCCCCCAAGGCTTTTTTAAAAAGTTGGACTCCTGAGTTTATTTTCTTAAACCTGAAGGAGCCTCACAAAACATAATATTTGAATCTCTATATGCTTTTTTCTTTTATAGATTAACATAGAATCATAAGATGTTTTGAGTTGGAAGGGACATACTGTTCATGTCGTTCCAACCTCCCTGCCATGGACAGGGATGCCACCCCCTAAGTTAGGTTGCTCAAAACCTCATCCAACCTGGCCTTGAACACTTTTAGGGATGAAGCATCCACAACTTCTCTGGGCAGCCTGTGCCAATGCTTCGCCACCCTCACAGTAAAGGATTTATTTCTAACCTCTAATCTACATTTCTCCTAATTTCATTTGAAACATTGTCTTGTGGTATGAGCCCATGTAAAAAGTCCTTATCCAGCTCTTTTCTAGACCCTTTAGGTACTGGAAGATGCTGTAAGATCTCCCCAGAGCCTTCTTTTCTCCAGGCTGAGCAACCCCAACTCTTTCAGCCCCTCTTCACAGGAGGGATGCTGCGGCTCTGTTCTTCTTTGTGGCCCTCATAACTAAACTGATCATGTATAAATACATATTCAGATTTTGTGGTGGTTTTGGACAGTTTTTTAATGTGTCACTGTTGGGATCATGCATGGTATTTTTGGGAAATACAGTTTGAAATATTGGTAAAGAATGCTTGCCCTCTGTAGCTGCTGGAAAGTTTTCCTGTACAAATGCAGGGTACTGGTACATTGTGGGCTCAGAAGACTAATTAAAGCAGTTGGGATTTAGTGAGCTGAAATAGCAGCTCAGAAGTTAAAAACATAGGGCTTTGACTAAAATCATTAGTTAAGAGGAATCATAAGGCTTTCTCCAATATACTTTTTTTGTCGTATTTATCCATTTTTGTTTTAAGTGCTTATAAAATTACTATTCTTCTGACCTGTGTTTTACTATGGAATAGATGTCTGTGGTGAGATTTTTTAATAGTTACATACACAACATACTTTAGAAATTATTGAACTTCTCAGAATGCACATGAATTAAATGATTTAATATTTTCTTTTTCAGGATTGAAGTGGATCTAGGGACAAATGGATGACTGAATATTCATATGAAGAGGAAAGCCATAAAAGTTGGTTGACATTTTTACAGCCATTTGCACTATATGTATTAATGCTGGTATCAAAAATTTACACTGTGTTATAAAACAGAATAGCTTACATAACTGGCCTGAGCTTTGTATGCTGTATTGTCCTTGAGGCAGGGGAATACTGTAGCTTAGCAGCCATGGCTTAATGCAGTGTTTGCTGACAATACCTGAATGTTCAGCAGAAAAAACAGTAGTATGTTAAGGAAATAGGCAATTCCTTTGAAGCCAGGTGTTTGAGTGGACTCATGCATAGTGGTGTTCATCATTCTTCCGTGCAAAGATGAATGGAGAATTAGAGGGGTGTTGTCTTAAATTATGGCTACTATGATGGTTAGTATGTCGTGGAGTGGCACTCAGATGCCACATTGACAGGTGCTGTTTAAGAACTCGAACAGGAGAGGATCTATTTGAAAGTTATCTTGGTGCTTTGTTTTCTTGTGATAGAGAGAGATATGGTTGTGAGAGAAGGCACTGTGAGTTTTCGGTGATCATTAAAAAGGAAGAAGCTATTGGTGGACCCCCGTGACTGGCTAGTGTTTTACTACACCAAGCCTTGACCTCTGCCAGTCTAAGTTATTGGTGACTATGAGGGATAGTCTTTTTCTGGGATACTATAATAACCAATTCCCACCAAGGCTGTTTAAACACATATGATGCTGCCTGTGGATTTACACCAGAGCAAGTGAATTGTATTGACAAATGCAGGGTGTGGTACAGTGGGATGCAGGGCACAGTCCAGGGGAATGCTGTGCAGCAGCTGCGCTAAATAAAGCATTCAGAGAACTCTAATAGTCAAGGAGGGGCGTTACTGTGGGAAGCCTGTTTCCTTGAGAGCTTCTGTCAACCCCTGAATCCCAGTCAGGGATGGAAACAATCAAAAACCAGCAAAATCCCTAGGTTTTGTTTTTCAAAAGCACAGTATTAGTTCAGTACAAGAAATGTAAGTTTACAGTTCTTTTAATTTAGCAAAGTATTTCAAGAGGACAGAGTCTTATTTTTCTCAGTGGTAATTTGGTTTTATCGAGCTTTTAGTGGTTCAGAAGTTTTACTGTTTATGAACTACTGACCAGGATACAGATGAGTGTAATTCCTTCTTGAGTAGACTTCATGAATGTTTGCAACAGAAAGTGGACATGCTGATTCCAACTACCTCCAAATTCACAAGTGGTGTGAGATTTAAGGGAATCATCTGTGTCTTTGAATTTTGTTTCCTGAAATAACAGCCAGCAAAACAATCTCAGAAGCATCCTTAGAACATCTGTTTTCTATGCTGCAGGTCCCAGAAAACACCTCCAGCCTCCCAGAGCCAAATTTAAACCCTGATAGAGACAAAGTGGTATTAGTAGCTGTGCAGAAATGTGCACCATTTTTTCCATGGGGTCAGGGGCCCATATGCCCACACGAGGCAGCAGTTGTTGCCTGCTAAAACCAGAACACAGAATCTTGCGGAATTTCTCTTTGGTTTGATTGCTGACAAGTCAGTGGCTGCTGCCCATACCGATGTCTGATAGTTTGGGATGGGCCAGTGTCATGGCAGAGCAAACCAGATCTTCCCTGGTCAGGTCTCTTGGCTATGAATAGCAGAGTGAAAACCTGATACTTCCTAAACCATGCTTGCATCTTTCAGAAATGAGGTGATAAAGTCTTGTATTTACAAACGTTGGGAGGCACTTCACTGACAGAAAGTGTGAGAGGGTAAAAAACCAAAGTAATTGTCTGTAAGCCCTCTGGGGATATCATTTTTTTACAGTGGACTACTCTTGCTGTCCCGGAGACAGAGTAGTACTACAATAGTGTGGTAATGTTCCGTGTTGGATTGAGAAGTAATGTTACTGGGACAGGCTATGTCTTAGGTATTTGGTTTGGGAAGTGACACCAGGGCAGAAAAAGTTAAGGATTTATTTCTTGAGAGAGGCTGTCATACCCAGAGTGTGTGCAGAGGAGGGACAGCTTCCAGATCAAGCAAATGTAAAAGACTCTTGAAATAATTTGACCTTTTTGCAGGTTTCTGTAATTGCATGAGAGCTGTATCTCTGTTAGCTCTGTATCACTGTTCCTCTCTTTGCTTTTGCTTTTCTGGTTTAACACTGAGTGGTGGAATGAGGAAGGAAGAACTGGAGAACAGGGTGACCTCTTTCTTGTCAAGCCATAGTTCCACTCTCTCATGCCCTTCTGATGACTTCCGGCAGTAATTGTGGGGAAGCTGCTCTAAATATGTGCAGATAAGGAAGGGGGTACTGAGTTATTTCTTTACATGTATTCTGTTTGGCAGCCTTTGCAAATGTAGAACTCTGAATCCTACTGGTAGTCTTTTATACTAGGAAAGTACTGTGATTAAATCATATCGCTGAATGAAAAGAAAAATGTAGTTACATGGAGGAATTCAAAGTTCGAGGCTAAAAATTCCTTTTCTGGGAAGAAATCATTCCAGAAGGCTTAAGCAATAGAGGTGGAGAAGGCTTCTCTGTGGTCACTGTTAAGATCAGTTGATAAAGTTCTGACTCCAATGGGGAAGTGATTGGATTTCAGCCAGCACCCTGCCTTAGCTTTTTGTTTTATTGCTCCTCTACTAATCTAATTTTGAAAGATTTTCACTGCTAACATTGAAATGTTGGTGTATTGGTGGGAGTGTAAACAACTTACGTTGCATTGACTGTGTGTTATATTGATATATTCAAGGTGTTCCTTTGTCTGCATCAAGATATATGTAAACATCGTGTTGTAGAAATAAGTGATATCTAAGCATATATGCAACTGATGAAGGAAAAATGGGCATAATTCTTTGATAAAATGAAGTTAGATGAATGAGCACAAAAAAAGAAATATGCAAAAGTAAATCTGATGGCAAATGTATATATTGAATGCATGCAGTTTATGGTGTTTCTGCATTTTCCATCTCCAGCTGCATCCAAAGGTTCATTTGTCTGTGAATCAGATATATGAAGTTTATTTAAATATTTAAAATTATTTTTCTTTTTCAGTGTATAGTGGCTGAATGGGGGTGTAGGGGGATGAGACTTGGGTAGGAGCTGGTAAGGAAATGTGTAACTGACAGAGAAAAACTATAGCTCAAAGGTTCTGGGCAAAATAAAAATCAAGACTTCAAAACCAGATAAACAGGACTGAAAGAAGGTCAGAGAGTAAAACTAATGGGGAAAAAGAGGTTGTTCAGATTGGAAAAGCACAGATCTGGGTTGTATTAATGAGTGGCCATGTGTGCAATCACACCACTCACCCTGTGTTTTCCATGAACAGCTTCTAGAAATAACACTGGGCAGTTCAGCTGATCAGGTTTAATGATGTTCTAAGTTATTTAATGCTGGAAAAGTGATGAACTACACTGAGTTTAATCGTATAAGGATGGCTCCTAATTTTCTGTATGTCATGTCTTCAAAAAATCAAAACCAGCTGTTTAGAGGAAGGGACTCGAGGTGATTCTTGAACTGTTGAAAGCCCACTCCATTTCAGGAATCCCCCAATCTCTTATGTGCCCTTGCCTCACCTCCTCTGGCTCCTGCATGTAGCAGGGCATGGGAGGGTGTAGAGCCTGCTAGCTGCTGGTTGCTGGCCTAGGGCTCTACCCCACGCTCCACTGCCGGCTGGGCAAGCCCCTGGGTCATCTCATCTGGCTCAGGATCTGCCCTGGTTTTGTATGGAATTTGGATTCATTTGACTTCATCTTTTTCCTTTTCCATGCTTTTTAAAGTCTGATCATGGTAAAAAAATGTCTTTGTAAAATGTATTTGAGAACGCTTCCAGGAACTTATATAGTTTTATTTGCATAGTCAGTATAGTGGTAACAGTGTGGTGATGTGTTTGGTTTTTCCTGTCAGTAGTCCCCACTGTATTGCAAACAAATGCAGTTTTTCTAGAAAGAAAGCGGCTGCTCTTAAGGACTCTTTCTCATCTAGCATCATTCAGTGAATTCTTGGAATATCATTATGATTAGAAACATCAACTTGGTAAAATATATTAATCTCGAGGGAATTACTTTGCACTGACCATCAATCTGTCTTTTTGTCATATGCTTTTCAGTTTAGATTACTCTCAGGCAAAGAGGCTGTAGTTTGATGTTTTGTTTTAATTCATTGTGATTATAAATTAGTTGGATAAAACAGTGTAACAAATGACTACTTAAAAATGACTGATGGCCCCATTCAGCAAGGCAGGGGGATGTGAAGTTCTTTTGGTTTCATCTATTGTCATGCATTTATCAAGATGGGTGCCTTAACAGTTGATTTTCAATGAATATTTCACAATGTAAATAGATAGCAGGCAGTTGTCTGGAGCTCAATCATATTCATAGGACAGATCTGCTTTTACTTGCTGTTACTGAAAAATGTAAAAGTTAACACTGAAACTGTAGAATGGAAGGAAAGCTTTTCCCCAAAGCTTATGTTGCAGAAAGGGAGGAGCAGCAGTGATTTTCTTTTTTTTCCTGTTCCTCACATCAGCAGCCACGTCTTTTCCCACTGTACATGTCTTTTCCCACTGGTGCTAGAGGGCTGTGCGAGGTGCGCACTGTAGCCCCAGGCTGGCTCACTGTAGGCTCAGCCCTACTGCAGGTGGGGTGAGGTGAATTTGGAGCTGATGCCCATGACTAAAAAATTGCTGAGGTCATTTCCAACACTGAAATTTTCCAAGGAGAAAAAGGCATTTAAGATGGTTTGCAACAAACCACTTCAGCTTTGCCTATGAGCTCTTTCCTGTTTCCCTTGCATTTGCAAAGTTACAAAATGGTTTCTGGAAAGACCCTGGTGTTCTTATTGGGCTTTCCTTATGAACAACATTACAAAATTTGTTCTACACAGCTTGTTTCTTCATTTCTTCCAGACAGATGCTTTCATAATCAGAGAAGCTTCTTGTCTGTGGATCCTGAGTCTTGGCTACATTCTGTTAGTTTCCTAACTCTCTTGGTGACACACATACGTGTAGATTGTGGACAAATTATATTTAGGAGTTGGCTTGTGATCCAACTTTGT